AGAGAGAGAGAGAGAGAGAGAGAGAGAGAGAGAGAGAGAGAGAGAGAGAGAATCTGGGAAAGGGAATTAAAGTGTTTCCTATGTATTTTATCACTTGAATTCCAGAATGGAAGACGAGAGAAAAAGATTGAAACCTAGCTCTGCTAAAAGGAAGAAAATGAAAAATCCATGAAATGAAAGGCAAAAGGTATTGCAGAATGTAGCCTGCATCGTGTGGAGGCGGAACTGGCTTCAACGAAGCCACTACGCTTCCTGAGAATTACAAAGTTCTATCTGACATTTTTGGCCGTTTTGAGTTACTATAAGACCTTGAGATCAGAAATCAAAATAATGCTCTATCGGTTCTATCAAAATTATAAGATTGTTCGGAGTCGTAATCAAAATATTCCAATAATTGCATTTGAAAAGGTTTGACATATTTGAAATTGAAGCTCAAAGCTTTTGACTTCAAAATTCTCAAAACTAAGTAGTGAGCAGAGAACCTTGTAATTCTGAAATTGAGACTATATAGGCCTATATAGATATCTAGCTATCTTTGTAAAGATGCTTTTGAATTTAAAATAATTTAAAATGATTTGATTTTTGTGTGTAACCACTTATTAAAACCAGAGACGGGCGTATTGCGAGTGCACGTATTCCGCCTGGTGACTTGCGTCTTGTTGCAAAAGGTCATGTCATAAACTTGTACTATAGGCCTAGTCTAAATAACGCAGATTCGTCAATGACCTCCTTCGGGTCTGTGCAAGTTCAGGCAAAAGGCAAAAATTAGCCCTGAAGGCCCTCCTTGACAACTCAAAAAGTCAAGTTATTGTTTTTGTTGGGCGTTTCCAGATTGTCCAATGTTCAGTCTTATCAGAGAGTTTACAGTGTAAACCCTCTCTGGTCTGATCTAATCCCACTGAAGTGTGAAGTGTGAAGTTGTGAACCCCCAGTACCAAGTACCCACCCAGCCCGCTACTGCTGTTTTGGCCAAGTGAAAAGTGAACTTTTGTGAGAGAAAAGTAAACGATAACAGTATCACTTGTTTTCTTCTTGACGCTTGTAAACACTGTGGAGCCGGCGAGAGATATCGAGTGTGCTTCGTTCAGGCTCGTCACAGTCAAGTGTTTTCAGAATGAGAAGTGATGAGGCGCTGCAGATGAGGAGCTGCGGATTTTGATTGTTTTTTCGTGCAATTATGGGATTAGAAGTGTTGGCTTATGTGCCGAATATTGTCGGTTAGTCACACTTGTATTGCTTTGTTTGTTCGTTTGTTTGTTTGTTTGTTTTCTGGGTTCTCCTAAATTTAATGTTGAATTAAGAAAGCAATTGAGACTGAGTTAAAGAGTTGAAGGCTGAAGGCTTCCAAAGTCCAAGTCGAACAAGAACTGACAAGGAAGATGGACACCTGCATGGTATTCATAAAATGAAAAAATGATAATGAAACTTACCGAATGACTAACTGCCGATTGTATTGATTTTTTTTGCAGATCTTAATTGTTCTTGTGAGTATGATTAAAAATGCATTCACCCTGGGTGAAAATAACACCCTTTTGTCTCGCTATTCTCCCCCCCCCCCCCCCCCCCCCCCCGGGGGAATAACTCTCACCCCCACCCCGGTGTGGGCATGAGGCGAGCACTTCCCCCCTGATCTCTGGCAGGCCGATAAAATCACAGGCCGTTGGTGGCTTAGCGTGTATGTGGTTTGGAACGAATGATAATAATTTAAAAACATTTTTCGCCTCTCCAGTAAAAAAAAAGGCTCACTACCGACGCTTATCGGGATGTTTGACCAGCCGCCGGCCGGACCATTCGTTGTTTACACACTTAACGATGGCTGACCTCTCTGCACAGTAATATTATGGTTCAAGGATACGTATGCCGCTCGCATTTAGGAACGTAACGAGACACGAGCACGAGACTATGCTCTTGCACGACGGTTGAAGGGTTGTAAATTATTCAGACCAAATGAACGAGGGCGTTAAATCGTGTTAACTAGTTTTAAGCTTTCCAAGCTCTTGACACTTTCATTTTTAAAAAAATTCTTTCTTTTTCTTTTTTTTTCTTGCCTTTCTGTCCCCTTCTTTTTCAACATTTGGAGTTTGGAGCCAAAAAAGAGCCAGAGAGCCATTGAATGAGAAATTCTCCAGGCGAGACGCGATCCAAAAGAGCATAATTTCTGGGATTTGGCTCCATTTGACAACCCTGATTGTGACTAGATCTAGATGTATGTCTCTTCGGATACCACACACGAGCATCAGCCCCGATAACCTCAGCCCTGATCCCTCTTGGGTCATTTCGGGTAAAAGAGGGGAGAGGGTGAGAATTGCGAAGGTTGTATAACCACTTCCTTAGTTTTTACATACCCAGCATGCCAGATCTTGCCAACCAGGGTTGGTGATTTTTTTTTTTTTTTCATAAAAATCAAAAAAATCGATTTTATTTATTTAAATCATGATTTTTTAAATTTAAATCAGATTTTTTTGATTTTTTTTATTAAAAAAAAAATGTCGACACAGTTTGGGATTTTTGGTTGCTAAAAGTATGTTCTTTTAGTGCAAAATGCATTGTCTTTATTTTAACTAATGATTAATTTAAGCAACCGCAAAAGAAAGCCTTAATCTGCTATATAATAATATATACATATATATATCAGTGAATTATGGCTAGACAAAAAATGAAGAAAATGTCAGTCTAAAAGGAAGGGGAGGGGGGGGGGGGGTAATTATGCATAGATAAACTTGCATTTTATTACAGTGTGTGTGTGTGTGCACGCGCTTGTTTTTGTCGAAAAAGAAAAAGAAAATGTTAATTTCAATAATGAAAAAAATGTAAATTGAATGCTGTATTATTTTACAGTGACAGGGGGGAAAGCAGACTTTTAAGTATGATTTTATTAGTCTACTAAACCTTATATACTGTTTTATGAAACCAAGGAAAGGAATTCTGAATATTTAAAGATGTAAAAACAGAATACATTTTTTTAAAGTGATTTAAATCACTGAATTTTATTTTTAAAATCAAGTTGATTTAAATTTTTTTAAAATCAACTGATTTAAATCGACCTGATTTAAATCAACCCAACCCTGATTTCAATTATGAAAAAAAAGTGAATACTGTATTATTTTACAGGGGGGAAAGCAGACTTTTAAGCATGATTATATTAGTCTACTAAACCTTATATATGTTTAATAAAACCAAGGAAAGGAATTCTGAATGTTCAAATATGTAAAAACTGAATACATTTGTTAAAAAGTGATTTAAATCACTGATTTTTATTTTAAAAATCAAGTTGATTGAAATATAAAAAAAATCAACTGATTTAAATCAACCCAGCTCTGATTTCAATTATGGAAAAAAAAGTAAATTGAATACTGTATTATTTTACTTTGAAAGGTGGGAAAGCAGACTTTTAAACATGATTATATTAGTCTACTTAACCTTATATCTGTTTTATGAAACCAAGGAAGGGAATTCTGAATGTTGAGATATGTAAAAACTGAATAAAAATAAATTTAAAAAAAAGTGATTTAAATCACTGATTTTTATTTAAAAAATAAAGTTGATTTAAATTTAAAAAATCAACTGATTTAACTCAACCCAACCCTGTTGCCAACAAAATTAATAATTTTTATTGTCAAGATGTGGAGGTTTTGAAATCTGGGTTAGGAGTTAAGGTAAAGAAGGGGTAGATCTGGATCTAGCTCAGAGAGAGTGAGTAAAATTGCAATTTCGGTTCTTCCACGACTGCGCTTTGGCTTTGGGTTTTAGACAAGACTCTTAGGCCTATTAACTGTTAATTTATAAAAATTTATACCCATCACAGAAGACTTAAAACGAGGAGACTGATGGAAGATGGGAACATATCATGATACCTCTGTTGTGACGTCTGAAACTGAATGAAGACCTCTTTTATTTTAGCTCACACATGGGGTGCCTTGTGTGATTCTTATAACGTCCTTGTTTGTAGATGTTGCACAGAGTCCATGGAATAGAAATATGTGGCTGGATTAATGTAGCGGGTCAGCTATAGCCTACATAAATACTGTATGACGAAGATCCAATGGCGAGCCTAATTTACTTACCTAGCCTCAAAGTTCTGTGATTGTCTTGGGGTTTGGATGTCAGTGGCATTATAAGAGAGTTAGGCCAAGAGAACTTATTGCCTATTTTGTGTATGATCATATATGAGCGTTCTGCTGGGCACAGTCCAGTCCTTTATGTTATTTATATTATATTAATTGTCTTATAATTATCCATACTGACAGGAGAACTAGTTTAGTGGTTTAATTAAAAGTGTGCAGTCGAACAGGACGGTAGCTTGTCATAATGGAATCTCCCTTGGGAGGTGGGAAATTTTCACAACTGCCCAGAGAGGTGACGCTTGATCCCGCCCATTGCATGGCTGGCCCTCTGGACCCCCTTCCTCAAGAATTACAAATCCCCTGCCCGAGATGGGAAATGTTCAGGACATAATTTTTTTCTGGCTCCCTTCCAATTTTGTCTCGGACAGGTTTGACTGTTGAGATGAGCATGTTATATCATGTAGACCTTTATCATCATCATGAATGTATTTTTTAATGAAGATGATAGATTTGAGTAATCTTTGTCTCTACCTGGTGCTTTGGAATGCTCTCATACTCTTTGCGCTCAAAGGCCTAGTCTAAGTAACGGTGTGCATTTTCAGGTCGCTTGAAAATATTTAAAGATGTTAGAAGTGTGCTACTTCTAAAAAACAAACTTGTTGGTTTATGATCACTTTCCCTTTATTTCTTCTTTAAGAAAAAAATATTATTCTTTATTTTCTTTTTCTTCAGTTGGAAAATAAGCCAATTAATTATTTTTTTTAAATCACTAGGCCCTGTTGGAAAATATACTGCTGAGTTGTGTTGATTTCTGAAATGTAGGTGAAGAATACAGAAATAGAAAGAAGAAAGAAAATCTCATTTTTGTTTTTTTGTTTGTATTCACAGGGTACATCAGAATAGTTTTGGCGTCCTGTGCTTTTCTGCTGTTCCAGCAACCAGTGTGGTTCACCATCTTGTACAGCATCTCGATCTCCCTTGATGGTACGGAAGTGAACACCCTTGATTAATGACATATTATTATTACACAATGCATAAATTACATCTCTAATAAAACTTGTATATTTTTTCTTCTGAAACGTATTTCATGGTTAATATCATTTTAGGTTTTGTTCATAATACTTTTAATTTTTAGAATTCTTTGCTTCTTGTTGTATTCTTATCACTACCTCTCCTTAGCATCGACATTTTCTCTCTTGTTTTCAATAAGCTTTTTATGTATATTTATTGGATATGTTACTATTTTCATATGTTCTATGTGGTTTTGAAGCTTATTTCTTTATTCTTTCTCATGGCACTGCAGACTTGGAAAGTTTTGTATTATATCTGAGATGCACAATTAAGATTTTTTATAACTACATACTTTTGTGACATCATCACATGTCTTTCTTGTTGAATTTATTTACATATATATGTGTCTATTTAAATTTTTCTGTCCTCGCAGTGTTCTTTTAGGATGTGAAACATCCCTACTGATACTTTTCCTTGTATCTTAAGAAAATTATTTTGTCATAATTTGGATTTGAATTATACTTTCTTTATTGATAGCTAACTTCTTTATGCTGTTTACGTTCACAGGCATTGATGGGTACTTGGCCCGTAAGCTGAACCAGACTTCAAAGTTTGGTGCTTGGGTAATGTTATGTTATATTATTTGTGTATAGATTTCACATTCCACAAAAATATATTGACATTCGTATGTTGGGATTTCTACATAAATTTGGTTGGCATTGGGTGACCATCACAAGTCAAATCCTCTATGATGCTCTGTACTTTTATGCGAAGGTACATTTAACTGTTCTTGCCTTCAGTTTCTCTGTCTTTTTTGTGTGATCTAATGATTTGAAAGTAGATATGGCAAAGAAAGTAGTCCTAGCTGGGTTGTAAATGGTCAAGCTTATCTGATGATTTGGAACATACAAAAATCTATGACTTTATGCAATGAGCTACTTTTTGGAGGAAATAATGTTGGCAGATGATATTGAGAATTAGAATTTCCTTGCCTTTCGATTACATTGTTGACTAGTGTTTTTAATTTACTCTCATCATTTTGATAGAAACAAAACAGATTGTGAAATAAACATGTTCAAAATTCAGTTTTTGCTAGTTTATATAGGCTATGACTTTCATACTTTCAGTGTTGTTTACCTTTATTGTGGGTCTGGTGTTCATGGAATGGAACAAAACTAAAGGACCACTGGATAAATCCACCAATAAAAATTTTGTAAAACCATTTGCATCAAAACTTTATGAAGGTCTTGTTATTGATACTCATCTTTAAAAGATAACTGGAACTAGTTAAAAAAAATAATTTCATGTTGTATTGTTTTGGGAAGTAGGCGTATTGTTAAATCCTCAGTTTATGTGTGTGGCCTATTATAGTGATTTGCTTGGTGTACCGATTTCATGTTGTTTGTTATTCTAGTTTCATTTTGTCACTTTCATTTCAGTTTGATGTCGTCATTGACCTCTTCAGCCGAGGCTACTTATGGTGTGCGCTGTTTCGAGTAAGTTCGCATTGTTGTAGTTCTTTGTCTCCAATTTTTTCTTTTTCTCCGCCATCAGCTTTATTTGAAAACTTTCTTTCCTGTTTGATGTTGGTTCATAGTTGATCCTTGATCATATTCTTCCTTTTTTTTTTGCCTTCTATTTTCCCTTTCATGTTTGTATAATTTTTGTTTCTGCCAGAATTTTCAAATGATTTTGCTCTCTTTTTATGAAGGCCAGTATTGTTTCTAATTTTGTTTCATTCATATTGGTTACCTGTTTTACAACTTTTTTAAAACTCGTTCGTAGCCCTCTGAGGTGAAAGATAAGTTTTGTATCTCAAGTTTTTCAGTGTGGACCTTTTGCTCCTTACTTCATGAACTTCTCACAACATGAATATCAGTATCAGCTCAAGTTGAATTAAAATAAAGATTCTACTCAGTATTTCTGTAAATAAATGCCAAATAAAAGCAAACAGCTACTTTTCATAAAAGCGCAATGAACAAAAACATGGTTCTTTTTGTTTTCATAATTGTATTTGCTGGAACTTGTGTGCATGTCCAATCACTTTCAGTCAGGCTACTTGGTTGTCATGTTGGAGTGGCTGACATTTGTGTGCACACATTCCCGAGGGGAGAACTGGCGCATTCCCGAGGAGAACTTTCCCATGTTGGTCAAAATGGTGATGGCTAATGGTGAGAGCGATTGATTCATGGGTGTTGAATATTATGTTTTCTTGTTTATATATTTTGATATAGGACTCCCAGATATTGCAGGATTACCGTTTTTCAGAATCTCACACTAGTCATTTGATTAAACAGTTTCTTTTTTAGCCCTCAGCCCTTGTTCTCTTTATGATGAAACAGTTTTGTTTCCTTAAGCCTGCGCTCTATAATCATGGGCTTCATACCAAACAATTGTCCTTTATCAGCTTGCTTCAGATTATGAACTTACATACATTTTGTTCAGTCTTCTGTTGGGTGGCGGGGGTTTCATGGGAGCTATTCCACTTGAAAAAGGTCCTGCGAAGTGAGGCTTCCTCTGTATTGGAGTTTCATTTCTGTCACTTGATCCACTTGGTTACTGCCAGTGTATACTTCGAGAAAATAGTGTCATGTCATCTTTTCTTTCTGTTTTTCTCTGCCCAGCTGTCTCCAAGATATCTCTGTGCGTTTATATTGTAATATTTGTTTGGTTTCTCCTTTTCCTGCAGGTTTCAAGGGGCCGTTAGGCATCTTCGCCATAGGAAGCCTGCACATTTTACCATTGTGGATGTACGGCTATGAGTCTCGGATGCTTACAGACGTATTGACCGTACCTATGTGGGTACAGCTGACATTGATAGCTCTGCTCTCAGTTGGCCGGACAATTTGTGCTGCGGTGGAGGTGAGGACGATCATTACAAAAGCTTGCTTACTTAATTCTATCCTTTCTCCTCTTTGTTACTGCTTACTTCAAAAAGTGGGCTTCACCGGATAAAACTATTTTAGATGCCATCTTTTATTTGCTGTTTGGGACTTTGTAGTTCTGTTAAGTTTGAAGCGTGGGATGACAAAAATTATGGCAATGATTTTAGAAACCATCCCCCCCGGAGATGTGGGACAGTTGGTATCAGAAGAAAAAAATGTATTTATCTTTAGGGGTAGGAATGTATTTGTTAAATTTGAGATCCATTCAGTCAGAGAAAATAAAGGACTCTTGTACATGTACGATTTTGTTTGAGCAGGATTTCTAAAGCAGTTCACAATGCACTGGCATTGTTTTGAATTGGTGTAAAGTGCCTAGTTCAACTTGTTCCATAGAGTGGACCTGAAGCATTATGACGCATCTATGGCTGTTTGTTTGAGAGAAAATGCAAGATGTTGAATAGGAATATTAGAATAGAATCAGTTGTGTTTCCGGGCACTTGCTTAGCTATATTGAGAAAGCCAAGATTTAGTGTATAAATAGTTTGCTTCTTGAAAGAAAAAAATTATACATTTTTATCAGTGGGGATTTCATTATATGTGACACGACTCCTGTTTTCAATTCCACAGCTTTTTTATGTCAAGGAATACGTGAGTCACCTTCTTCATGTCAACGAAAAGTAGAGGCTTTTGCAAAGCTTGTGTTAAGAGTGAAGGACTAATGAGAGGCATCGTGGTGAAATCAGGCGCTCATTAAAAAAAAATCAAATCGGAGAAACAGGCATTTTTCTGCCAGTTTGGCACTTTTTTTTATAGAGTTTTTGTTTTTTGGCTGAACTTATTTAATGTTCAGATAAAAACACATTCATGTGTGAATTTTACTGAAAAATGTTGATTGAAGGCACAATGTATGTTATTATTCTGTTGTCAAGGACTTTTTAGCTATTGGAGTTACCAAACTTTGGCAACCATTTTCTCACTTATTTCACCATTGAAACCAGGTGACCCAACTCTTTCAATCGCAAATATCTTGATACTATTCAAGATATATGGGCATATTTTAATTGAAAGCAAGGCAAATGAATAAGCTTTGAGATGGTACCAATAAATCTACATGCCCAAAAATTGATGAGCGCCTAATTCCACAGCGTCGTGTCACAAATGCAACTGTTGTTGTGGTTGGATTTTTGCTGTTGTCCTCATTGTTCTTGAAGTAACTGTGAATATAGTTCTTTTATGCTTATATGATGGCCTTTAAACTCAGTATGCCTCTATTTAGCCAGAGTGGCCACATATGATATATATAGGCATAGCTTTGATGTGGTTGTCAAAATATTGCTGAGGGTTTTGAATTTACTTACAATATGTCATACATTTTAAAAATTTGAAATTTAAACCATTTTTTTTTTTCCTTTCCAGTCCTTGGGTTGAGGGAATCTATGGTGTTGAAGCCTCAATTCTTTTAAAACTCTTATGAAATTTGTCTACTGTTCCCTGGCAGCAAGGATATGGAACTAGCGCTTCTGTTTTTATTAAAAATGTTGTTGGTGTGGGTCACAGAGAAACACCATTAGTTGGTATTGTGCCGGACAGCTGTGCATCGTCTCTTTATTTATATTTTCAAAAACTGCAAAGCTCCAAAATCTAGGAAAGGCATTATGCTGGAGGTGCCCTCTGAATTTTGTCATCCCCTCAAGTTTTGAATCATGCCCTTCTCCTTTCAAGCTGTCTCAATGTCTTCACACGTGTTTATGCCTCTGAGAAAACCTGTTGGCAGGAGAACATTTTCAAAACTGTCATTTTTACAAGTATCAAAAGAGCATTTTCTAGTTTATTTGGCTGTAATTGGAGCATTGTGTTCAAAAATATTTGCCATGATGGGGCCGTTTAAAGAGAAAATGTACAGTTCTTTGTTGTTTTTCTACTCTTATAAAAACACGTGAGCTGGGAAAAACGGTAATATATTCTGTCATTAAGGGACATTTCCGTAAAGGGGTTACATGAAAATAAATGTGCATCCCCATGAACACACACTTTCAGATTTTAGCAAAATTTGGCTACTACATGTGCTCAAAATAAGTTGTGACGCATGCTTAGAAGTAATAATCAGACAAAAAATAGAATTATGATTTGTTAATCATGATATCTTTACCCCTGTTTCATAAAACCTCATTTGAGAATCTCAAGGTTTGTTTGTAATTATGTTTCAAAAAACCTTCTGCTCCATTTGACCGATTTCCACAGGGCTACGCACATTTACTATCACCAAGTTACAACATGCCTTGTCTGTAGACCCCTCAGCAATAAAAATCATTTTGATAAAGTCTTAAGTACCAGGTACATATTTATCTCATTTCATTTACAAACACAGTAAAGTAGTATCTCTTATTCAGGATGATAACCTGACTGCCAGTTTTATATAGAATGCCCATGTAATTTTTGTAACTTGTGTTACTTGCTGTGGTCACAAGTTTGAACTGAGTGCATCCCACAGAGAAAACCTCCAGTTTTCTGCCTGTTTGTTTCTTGGTTGTTTTTTCCCTCCTTTTTCCTGGTACGGCTGTCAGTACAGATCACTGCCGTTGTCTCCATCAGTTAACGTTTCTCTGTGTTTTGTTTAATGCCCTATGAACTAATGCACATAATGCTCTATGTTCTAGGGAGAAAAAAATACTCCAGAGTTTTTAAACATTCCTTCACTTACTTGAAAAAGGAAATGGAATTTTAGGTGCATGACATAATTTTCCACCCATATTTTTAAAATAAGAATAAACCGGAAAAAAAAAAGTATGCAACTTAAATAAAAGCTTATGAATATATTTTAGAAACTGCCCAAAGCTTTTCAAGTCAGGAAGTCATGTGAATGAAGCTTTTAAATTGCAAGACTTACTAACTGTTCAGTTGAGACTATTTTTAACCCGCCAAAGATGACAGCAGAAATTTTGTGAATCATCTTTCCTTGCCAGGCCCAGTAGGCCTATTGATATGAAAATGCCAGAAAATCAGTCAATAAACTCGAAATGGACCTCAACAAATGCTGACTGAAGCAAGAGTTACCAAATCTTGAACAAATCTATGTTTCAACTGCATACATACTCTGAACTGGTGTTCATACTTTGTGTTTGGGTTTGCTGGTAACCCAGTTGGACTTTTTAACTACATGCACTGATATTACATGGGGATATTTTCACTATGGACTCGACTTTGAAGATTTATATATATATATATGTGTAAAATAACTTATAAACATCTATTTATTATCTTTCTACAGCTGTTGTTTTTTTGTTCGTTTAGTATTGACATAATCAGATAGATGTGTTTATCTTCAAGATGCTCAAAATATTACTTTTGTTGGTTTTGTGTGACATGACATACATATTGTTGACCCAGACATTTCTTCGCCGTTTGTACATTCCATTTTCTGATGTTTCCTCTAGCTAAATGGCAAACCTTGCATACCTCGTTATCCCTGTTCAACTATCACCCCAGGGCTGTTTGAACCTAGGTAGAATTTTGTTTAACCAGTGGATGGCAGCTGTATCATAATATACTTGTAAGAAGAAACTTGATACTTGAAGTCTTATCCCTTTAAGTTGGCGTACATCAAACTGCATCCTTGAGTTGCTCAACCCAGATTCGTTTGCTTTGCCTCCATTTGCTAGATCATAAGTTTAGTAGTGAATTAAGTATTAGTCAGCTTGTTTTATTTATGGCTTATTTTTCTTCTTGAGTGGAGTGCACCTCACAATAGCTTCTAGATATCCCTAGATTCCTGGACAACTAAGCCTTCAGATAGGCCTCTCTGATCCAAGCCAACAACCTGTAAACAGACTAAATGAATTTTATCAGATAGTCAATATTCTCATTGCTCGAAAGCTTTTATGTCCATGTTTAGTTTAGAAAATCAGTGTTGTCTGGTAAGTCTCCAAGGTTTTATTGCAGGTCAATTTAGCTCAGACTTATTGTTATTTTAGTTTAGGCTCGGAGACTGATCACAATTTCTTGAAGTCAGTCGATAATTAATCACTGTGCAGTAGGTTGCAGGCCTCCCTAGTTTATTCCCTCCTGTCTGTTGTTTTCCATGGTTAAATGTGGAAAGTAAAGATCATATCTCAGGCTCCATGTTTTCAAAGAATTTTCCATCCTAGTGCTCTTTGTTTTGAGAATAATAATTTCTTCTCATCATCACTTTTTCGGTATTGTGAGACATATAGGGTGTGTAACTCCTTCACATCATTACTTTCTCAGTCCTGATAGAACTTGTATGAAAACCTAGACAGTTTATTATGCCATGGGTGTAGGCTTACATATCAATGTCCTGGTATATATATTATTGAACAGGACTTTTGAAGAGTATGTAATCAAACTTGTTTTTTGTTGTTGTTGTTTTGAGGTCTATTCTCAACATTTTTTATTTTATTATATTTAGTCTTTTTAACTAATACTCATTGAGAATATAATATTCAGCTTGTCGGTGCTCAGATGGTTAAAGTCTTCTTCCTTTAAACTGAGATTTTTTCTTAAGAGATTGCCCCCCCCCCCCCCACACAGTCACACACAAGATACACACACACGCACAAACACACACACACACACACACACACACACACACACACACACACACACACACACACACACACACACACACACACACACACACACACACACACACACACACACATAGACACAAACTTTGCCCTCAAGCACATGCACGATCATTCTCAACAAGTTGTGACTGTTTGATTTTTTAGCCACACGCATTTCATCCTTTAAAAAAATATTTCTGCTAAATTTGTCTAAATTGGCACTGCTTCCCTTTCTGACAAATACTGTTACATGTTTTGTTTCATTTCCATTTCCGTAATTTCTTCCACACACAACTTTCCACTCTCAGGCCATTTCTGTTTTGTTTTTACTTTTTTTTTCGTGCTTTTTTTGTCTGTTTTGCACCCTATTATTTTTGTCTGGAGCTTCCAAAGGCCACTCGTTGTCCTTGGACGAAGCACCCTGGTCTTCATGGAAAAGTACACAACAGTGCTTGGTGACCTTGGAAGAGCAAAGATAAAAATTCCACTCAGTCTCACGCAGTTTCCAACTAGTGGGCTGCATGCATTATTCTGGTGCAACACCAATAAATTTATTCCTAACCCCCTTTAGTAAAGTTTTAGATTGTATATTGCTGACACAGATTTTCAGAGTGAGATATGATAATACATGTTATTATATGAGGATTTTTTTCCAAAATGTCAGTAGGAAAGGAATAAGTATGTACTTGTGGGCACTGCACTGAGTGCAATATAAATGTACTTGTAGGCTACCGTGCACGACAAGAGGACACTTGTGATTAGATTTAGAAGTCCTCTGTCCTCTGTCTAAAATGCCAGTCTTTCCTCATTGGTTCTATTTATCATTGATTTTTGAAAAGTACGCTCAGTTTGCATGACAGATAAAGGTCACTTTAAAAAAAAACAATTTTTTTTTTTTTTGGGGGGAGAATAGATCGTGAAAAACGTATATGTGTGTTTATTTGTTTGTTGTCTTTTTTGTAAGGGTTTTTGGGGGGGGGGGGTCGCCATTTTAGTAGTGTGTTAAAAATCTGTTCCGAAGTGATAAAAAACCACATCTGAAAAGAGATTCCCATCAAATTATGCGTTATCTATTTTAGTAGGTTGTGTACTAAATAGATACAATGTATATGTTTCTTGGTACCTGATTTCAGTTGTTCTATATTTTTACCATACTCAGACATGACATTCAGCTGACAACGAATACTATAATCTCAAGTTGACCAGGAAAAAAAAATAATGCTATTTAA